CCTGCGACCAGGGACAGATATTCAGCCCACCATCACAACAACTGCTTTACAATGGGCTACAGTTGGTGAATGCCTGACCTACAGTAGACAAGGCATCTTTTATGTTAAACTACACAAGACTGGAGGTGTAAGAAGAAGAAAATTGAAATAAAATATAAGTCAAATGATCCTTAACAGACGCTATCATCAGAACCGGTTTTGTGAATATGGCCTAGGGCTGATGTCCCAAGGAATCTCACACAAGATCAAAATCATGAACCATGTATGTACTACTTGGATAGTAAGTAACTATGACCTTCCTCCTGTTCCAAACACCCTAGAACAATTCTGCCCATGTAAGTATAGTACAATCCATAAATCTATGAGCATATAGGTAACTTTGACTTTTCTAAGTAGCATATTTTAAAAAATATTTTTTAGATTTTTATTACATTTAGTGTTTATGCTTGTGTATATGCATGTATGCATGTGTGAGGGAACACAATGTGCACGTGGGGGTCAAAGATAACCTCCAGAAATCTTAGTTCTCTCTTTGCACTCTGTGGGATCAATAAAGAAACTTCCTACTGAGCCATCTTATCAGCCTTCTCTAACAGCATACCATTCAAAATTGAAAAAACAAACTAAATTAAATATGACATGTTTGACTCCATTTGATATAATGAAAAATTATCAATTCAACATGTAACCAACACACGTAGCATACTGAGATATCTTACACTCTTTTGATAGAAAATATTCAAAATGTAGTGCACAATTTACATTTAGATCCCATTGTAATTTGAACCAGATGCATTTCAAGTGTTTTACAAACACATATGAGACAGTAATTATTGTGTCTGAGACTGAGTCTAAAACCATTCCTAAGTCATGCAATACACATTTACAAACCAAATAAATTCTTGTTAAGTGAACTGAGTACTGCCACTGGTGGTGACAGTAAGAATTCTCCAGTTGTATGAAATGAGGTCAATAGCACAGACCAAAGTTGGCCATTGTAATCTGCTTGGTTTTTCTTAGTCTCTTAGCATGGCTTCCTCTCCAAATGGCCAGTTCTTGGATATTGGAGCTGCCCGCAAGGGTCCCAGCTTCACAAAGAGATATATCAGATCCATTATTATTCATCACTTAATAATTTCATTGTCTATGAAATGAGAGTGAGCTGATACTCTTTGTGATCTAGTTTAAGTTCCTAAAATACCAGAAAGCTGTTACAGGTTCAAGACCCATAACTGAATATTTCACTCATATGTAACTTTAAAAGTTTTAATAATTACATCTGGTTTTGATCCCATGTCAAACTTTGCCAAAGCCATGCAGATAACTTCTTCTTTCTGTACAGAGGGTAGGAACTGCCTTATAAAGATTAAAATTTTGTAGCATATTCATACAAGGACTTGTTACTCGGCAATTATAAAAATGCAGTATAAGATAAGCATCATCTAGAATAAACCTCTAAGTGTAAGAAATCAGGTATGAAAGAATAGTAATGTTATTGCATTAATGAGAACTACTCTCTGCTGGTGAAACTCGAAGTGAGAATTCTGGTTGCTCACTGAGCATGGAATTAACAACCACACATATGCAAGGTAACCTTCCAGTGTGAAAGAAATATCCTACACCTAGAACTTGACTGGTAGGTGCAGGTCATACACATTTCTCAAAAATAATTGAAGATTGACACATTTTTCTGGGTACATTTCCCTCCCCACACACAATGAACTGTCAGCGAAGAGGAGGAGGGTTGGCAAGTGAGTGAAAGGGGAATAAAGAAATCATGAAGTTATGTATTCTCACCATAAAAATAAATAATACAGAATGAAAGGAAGATTGCATGTTTCTTCTCTTTTCACATGCCTCAAGTTTAATTTCCCTCTTTTTGAGAAGTGTCCTCATGAGCTTGTTTCTCAGGCAGGCTCTTTGTCCTTCAAGCTCAGTTTGGTCATACCGAAGGGAATATTGGGTTCAGCTAGAAGTAGAGATCTCAGCAAAATGCCTCAATATAAGTTGTGTATACACAAAGACTTCTTACTAACAGGTGTGAGTGTGTATGTGAGAGAGAGAGAGAGAAGGAGTGTGTGTGTGTGTGTGTGTGTGTGTGTATAAGAGAGACTGTGTGTATCCGTCGCTGTGTGTCTTTCTCTGTGTGTGTCTGTGTGTGAGACAGAGATTGCGTGTGTGCATTTGTCTCTCTCTGTAGTACTCTCTATCTCTCTGTCTCTCATTGTGTGTGTATATAGTGTGTGTGATAAGTCCTGGAAACAGAGAAGGTTTGGTGATTTCTTTGGTGAACTGAATGGGTGTACTCTATTTTTTTCTTTTCTTTTCTTTTTTTTAATGTGCTCAAGACCTAATTACCATAAAATTGGAAAGATTGTTTCTTACATTTTTATAGTTCAAATATTTAGATAAAACATGAATAAAATTACATAGAATTGAGGATTATATTTCTACACTAAGATATTCTGAGTCATCCATATTTGTTCTACTTTTTTTCAGTGTTGTTTTGATATATATGACGTGTGTGTGTGTGTGTGTGTGTGTGTGTGTGTGTGTGTGTGTGTGTGTATTCTGGCATTCCACCATAGGTATCAGATCCCTGGAACTAAAATTACAGACAGTTGTGAGCTGCCATGTGGGTTTTGGGTACCAGCTCCTTGGGAAGAGCAGTCAGTGCTCTTAACCAGTGAGCCATCTCTCCATCCCTGCCTCCATTTTAAATTATTTTTTATGTACTTTGGTATTTTACCATGGATGTCAGGTCCTCTGGAACTGGAATTATAGTAGTTTATATTGTTTAAGTGTTGTTAAGATTTTAACTAATCATATATAATGCTGTTATAGGAAAGAGTCTGATTTATCAATAGTAAATGTGTTTGTACAAAGACATAGATCCCGTTGATCTGTCTTGTAATTTTCAGTACAAACTCATTGAATATCTTCTTATAAAGTTTATTTCTAAGTCTTTTATCCTTCCACTGCTACCACAAAGGAACCATCATTTTCGAACTTCATTTTCTAATTTTTTGATGAATTAAAATAGTTCCTATAATTATGTTGGAAATCTTTATAAATTTCCATATGAACAGATAGTTTTTTCTTCAGATAAATGTGGTTTCTTCTTTACAAACATGCATGCACTTGTATTTGCATCCCTTCTCTTATGAATTAAGAAGAACATCCGGTATATTTCTGTGTAGTATATAAGGAGAACTGTCTTCCTTGTCCTGGTCTTTTACCATTGGGCAAACTAGGTAAGTCACATCCCCACGTCTCCGTACTCATTTTTTAGGGATAGTTTTCTTTCCTATACTATATTTTGCTGAGTTTTGGTGCCAGGTTTAATCTTACTTCAAATAATTACATAGATCATCTCTATTTTGGGGGAATGACTTCTATAATACTGGCATTATCTCTTTCCTAAACATTTAATAGAATTCAGCAGCCTATAACCATTAAGAATATAGTGTACTTGTGAGAGTATGTGTTAGTATGAATATGGTTTCTATTCAGAAATTCAGTTTGCATATGGGTCAGTTTCACTAACTTGTATTTTTTAAAAATGTTTTCAAATCAACAAAATTATTACATCAACTCTCAAAAATTGTCAAATTGCCTATAGCTTTGACATACATAAAATACATAATGGTGTCTCTTCTGACATTTCACATACTGGTAACATAATTTATGTACCTATAGTGCCATAGAAGTTATTATGTAGACTAGGCTGGACTCAAATCCACAGCAACCTTCCCACTTCAATCTCCCAAATGTTGACATTAGAGTCACAAGAAACCATACTCAAATTTGCTTTTAGTTTTACCTATCTTGCTGAATTTATTAGTCAAAGTTCCTATGACACTGGGCATGGTGGCATATGCCTTCAGCACTATGGAGGTAGACACAGGCAGATCTCTGTGACATCAGGCCAGCCTTATCTACATGAGTTTTAGGCTAGCCAGAGCTATGAAAAAAAGTTTCTGTCTCAAACAACAAAACACAAAGTCCCTATGAAAACCCCTTAGTTTACTTATTAAACATAATGTAGTTTTTTTGTTTTGTTTGTTTGCTTTTCCTGTTTATTTATTAAACATATGTAGTTTTTTTGTTTTGTTTTGTTTGTTTGCTTTTCCTTTTTTATTTAAATTTGAAACAAGGTTGTTTTGCCCTTCAGTCCCAGTTCCTTTCCACTCCCATCCTCTCCTATAACTGCCACCAAACCCCAGCCCACCCCCTTTCTGTTCCCCATGGAGGATGAGGACTTCCATGGGGAGTCTTCAAAGTCTGTCATATCATTTGGGGCAGGGTATAGGCCCTCCGTCATGTGTCTAGGCTGAGAAAATATGCCTCTCTGTGGGTTGGGCTCCCAAAGGATAAGTACTAAGGATAAATGCTGATCCACTACTAGAGGCTCCCTAGACTGCCCAGTCCTCCTAATTAACACACACATTCGGGGGTCTGGGTCAGTCCTATGCTAGTTTCCCAGCTACCAGACTGGGATACATGAGCTTCCTCTTGTTCAGGTCAGCTGATTCTGTGGTTTTCTCCAGCCTGGTTTTGACCCCTTTGTTCATCACTCCTCCATATGTAGTTTTATGTATGTAACCTTTGCAATCAGTTTAGCATTTCCTTTAATCCCATATGAAGGAACAGTATCAATGATTCTTATAGCCCTAATATCTTTATTTATTCCCAAGAGATAACAATTTCTTTATTATTTAAACATGATTCTCAATGGTCAGTTCTAAAAACTACATGGATTTTTTTTCTACGAGCATGGTTTTACTATTTCAGACTCATTTTCATATAATAATTGTAATGGAACAGGAAGCTATGTTATTTTAATTTATTTTCTTTTTGTCCACAGCATTAGCTCACCTATTCATATACCTGTAGACACTAAAGATGTATTTATACAACTAAAATGTACATAAGATGTTATTTTATTGTGTACAGAAACCCTTTCCTGAATAAAAATTTCTTACTTTTTGTTTCTACAGTGATGCTCTTATAGAGATAAATTGTCTAACTCTTAATAAGCTACAAAAGACGTATTTTATAAAGACAGGAAAATTCCTACTGATTGGTAGCAGCAAAATATGTGTGAAACTTGGAAAGAAGAATTTAACTTGCAAAAGTATGGAAATAGCCAAGATAGGTAAGAAGTTGTGTGTGAAGGTATGGTAGCTGTGGCTTGGATAGCTGCAGACACATGTCTTGACTTTCAGTATGATAAAAAAAAAATAGGCAAATCATAAAAACACTTGGTAAAAAATAGACAATAACAACTTTTCTAACTAGTTTTTAAAGAATGAAAATTTGATCCTTGAATCATGACTTTCTAGTGTGAGAAATATGCTGAGAATGTTTAAACTCAGCTATGGAAGAGGGTTTTTGACATCATACCTACTGATTGGTGGAAACACACATCAGTATCAAGAATGTACCTAAAGTGGAGTCATCTTTCAACTTCCCGCACATCTTTTCTTTTTTGAATTCATTTCTTTTTCTTCCTTTTTTTTTCTTCTTTTTTTATTTTACATACCAATCCCAGTTCCCTCTCCCTCTCTCCCTCCCTCCCTCCCTCCTTCCCTCCTTCTTTCTCTCTTTCCCTCTCTTCCACCCTCTCATGTTTGAATTCATTTATGAAAGCTTTGTAGTCTTTACTCCATTTTCACATAATATTCCAAATGTGCATAGCTAAATTAACAAAACATTTTTAAAATAAATATACATTTTTCCATATTTGTTCAAGTTCTACAGGTGAAAGACAGTTTATGGATGGGAGATAAATGGATGCATAGATAGATGGTGATAGATAGATAGATAGATAGATAGATAGATAGATAGATAGATAGATAGATGAGAGACAGATTGATTTAGATTGATTTTTAGAACTGTTCATGTGATTATGGCAATGTTAAATTAAAAATATTTATTTATTTTAATATCTTTTTACATTCCAATCACAGTTCTCCCACCTCTCCGCCTGCCAAGCCAATCCTCCATCCACTCCACTCAAAGGGCTTCCATGGGGAGTCAACAAAGCCTGGCCCATGAAGTTAAGCAAGTTAAAAATCCTAAAAATGAGCCAGAGGTTAGAAATTCAGGTCAAGTGTGGATATTGCAGACTTGAGTTCAAATTCTCATGGCAAGAAACAAGAATATATTGCATTCTTGAATCTGATTTGTTTCTTAAAAGAATTTCCTTCCTTTTATCTTTCAAGGCCTTTTATACAATGTTAATATAGATTAAACATTATGAAAGGTAATCTGTGTCACTCAAAGTCTACTGACTTAACTGAGCAGTGGTGGTGAACACCTTTAATCCCATCTCTCAGGAGGCAAAGGCAGATGGATCAGTATGAGCCAGCCTGGTCTACAAAGTTAGTTCTAGGACAACTAGGGCTGTTACACAGAGAAACACTGTCTTAAAAATAAAAAACAACAACAAAAATCTACTGACTTAAATTTTAATCATATTTTAAAAACACCATTGGATTGGTATTTAACTAAAAAAAAATGTAAGGACCATAGCCCAGCCATTATGAACTATAATATGATTCTATTTCCAAAGAGAGTAAGTGAATGTAGCCAAATTGATTTGACCCAGAATACATTATTTCATTTTGTTAAACATAAACAGTAAAAAGCAGTTACAATTCAAGTTAAATTACAATTTGAGTTAATGCAATAACAGGTCAAGTATTCATGTTTTTTCTACTTCTGGATATTTTCAAGTAAATATGTCTTGGGAAATGGTCAGAATGATCATATAAATGCAATTTTTGCTGGTTTTAAAGACTATGAACTATTCTCCCCTAGTCTCAAACCTCCTTCCCTACTCTAAAAGAAAGGACAACAGAGCAGTTCTCACTAGATAAGAGGTAAAGTGAGACAGTTACTTCAGCTTTGTTAGCTATGATGATAAAGACTAAAAGTAGAAGTTCCCTGTCTGAGCAATCAATCATCTTAGGGAAAGAACGAGTGTCGCAGACAGGATATATTGGACAGATGGCTTTGCATGTTTGACCACACAATAACATGAGGTAGGTCAGCATGAGTGGCAGATGAGGCAAGAATTCCAACAAACAGTACCTGATTTTTGACAAGATCGCTGCAGACACATCTTGACTTCCAGTATGTAAAAAAATAGGCATATCATGAAAATACTTTGTAATAGGCAATAGCAACTAGTCTAACTAGTTTTTAATTAAAATTTGACCTTGACTCATGACTTCCTATTGTGTGAAATATGCTGAGGATGTTTAAACTCATCTATGAAAGTAAGCTGGTTTTTATTCATTTAGAAGCGAGTTTCTATAGATCAGTGCTCATTTTGTGCACTGCACAAAGGCATCTAAGCACACAAGCCTCTGCAGTTATGGGAGCACTTAGACCACACCCATAGGATCTGGGGATACCTGCCCCATCCATAGTCCTAGGTCTCAAATGCATAGTGCTCATCAAGGGCCATGCTGCATCTCCCACAGCAGACCACCAGACTGGCCTCTTATGTAAGCAGCAATGAGGGGAGCCAGAGTTTTCACACTGCTGGTAGGACAGATCCCTGGGAAGGAGTGGTGTGGCTCTCTGCGAGGACACTAGAAAGTGCTTGCCCTTCAGAGCAAGTAGGAAGAAAAGTGATGTTTCTCATAAGAACTATTTTCTCCTAGCTCCTAGGGAGGCACTTCATTCACTGAATTGTCATTTCCACAAAATTTAAACTAAATGCTCCTGATTGAATTCTAGAACCAGAACCCTGGCCACCTACAGCTTTCTCCCTCACTTTCCTTTCCTCAGGTCCCCTGTGGTGGTTTGAAAGAAAAAAGACCCCAAAGGGAGTGTCACTATTATAAGGTGTGGCTTTGCTGGAGTAGGTGTGGTCTCTTTGGAGGAAGTGTGTCACTGTGGGGGTGGGCTTTGAGGTCTCCTATTGCTCAAGCTACTCCCAGCGAGACAGATCAGTTTCCTGATACCTTCTGATCAGGATGTAGCCAGAACTGGTCTGCCTGCATGACACCATGCTTCTCACCATGATGATAATGAACTTAACTGTAAGCTGCCACCTCAATTAAATGTTTTCCTTTATAAGAGTCACCGTGTTCATAGTGTCTCTTCACAGCAATAGAAACCTTAACTAAAACATCCCCCTAGCCTCTAAGGCTGGGGTCCAACTTCCTGCCTTCCTACTTTGTTTCGAGTATATTGATAAGATTGTCTCAGCCTGATCCAGATGTTTTACTAGAAAATAAGTATTTTTCCCTGGGTCTGTGCTGTTTAGTATAACAGCTTTCTCTTCCCACAAGTGCATCTTACATGGCACATTGTATCTGAGCAACAGTTCTATGAGGCAGGCAGACAGCAGGCAGAGATGCTTATGGAACAATAGGTTAATTTAACTAAACCTTACTGATGAGAGAGAGAGGCAGCTCTGGAATTTGTTAGCCAGGGCCAGGGGGAAGACCGCACCTCCATGCATCTCAGATGAGGTCAGAGGTCCCAGATGTAGCTTTGCAATTCTTTGACTTTGGAGCTTTTTAGTAACATATACTCTAGTATTCTGATGGTGTGTGTGTGTGTGTGTGTGTGTGTGTGTGTGTGTGTGTGTGTGTAAAATTAGAACTACCCATCACATCAAAACAAACAATTCCTGAATACATGGTCTGACTGTTGTAATTTAAGAAGAGCAGTGCTTGAGAGAAAGATGCCATGTGACAGGGTTCAAGCAGAGGGTTTTTTTGTTTGTTTGTTTGTTTTAATTAGGGGAAAGGGATCATAAAAATGGGAAAGGGGAGGGGGCAGACCAGTCTCCTGAGACAGGAGCAGCAGGAGCGAGGAAAAAGGGGCAGAGAGAGAGGAACAGATAGAGGGAAAGAGAGAAGGATGGGAGGTGGGCAGGGCCCTTTTAAAAGAGAACATAGTGAATTGCACAGGTGGTCCTCTTAGTGACTGCAGCTGAGGGTGTTTCCTGTCAGAACCTCAAGGACAGGCCAGTACAGATGCCTGAAAGCTGACTCTGACACTCTTACATTTGTTTCTCACACACACCATTGCTACACTAAGCAACATTTAGGACTTCCTCCACACTGTGACCCAATTATCTTTCCCAAAGGACCTGGTAGATAGAAATGGACTAAGATGGGAATTACACAAAGGAGAATTTGAAGGCCTAAATGGAACCGGTACAGTTCCAAATATTCATAACACTCCGAAGGCCACACTAGCCAGGAAGGCTGGCTATGATGTCTGGATGTGAATCAAGGAAAAAGAGGTTTGGCTGTATGAATGATCAGCTCCTAATATAAAAAGTTCTGGGATGAGTGATAGAGCAAAAGGACTCTAAAAAGCCTAGTTATCAACAATTAATGAAAAAGAGGGCCATAAATTTGAAATAAAGCTAAGAGGGTATATGGGAGGGTTTGCAGGGAGGACAGGAAAGGGTGAAATGATGTGTTTGCGTTTTAATGTCAAAAACACAAGAAGTTTAAATGTACTTACGTCCTTTTCAGTTCCACACAGCTTTCCTTCTTTTTTCTTTCCAGTTAAACCTGAGGCTCCTTTTGGCCTAGAAGTAGTCTATCGAAAAGAAGCAAATGACTTTTTGGTGACATTTAATACATCTCACTCAAAAAAGAAGTATTTAAAACATTTAATGCATGACATGGCCTACCGCCCAGAAAAGGGTGAAAATAACTGGACGGTAATGTAAATCAATCATCATCATAAAATAAATATCATCATGCTTTGTCTTCAGAACTTATTCTTTACTCAGAGAGGCTCCCAGGATCATACTCATTTAAGGCCCATACATAACTCTTGCATCTTTCTTGGCTCATCATCATCTAACTTGCTCTATTTTATCTTTATGCTTTGGATTTAGATAAGAACATGTGCTCGGACAAACTTAATCCTCACTTATACAAAGTCTGTGGTTCATGGGCTAATCAGAGAAGAAAAAAAAAAAAAACAACAGTGGCTCTCTGGGGCATAGCCAACAAGTAGGCGGCGCACTTTTTCCCCTGGGATTCTTGGGGTCAGCAGGAGGTCAGTCAAAGAAAGGGAAGAAGGCTTGTCTATTCCTCCTTATTTTAATGCCTAAGGTTTCTGTCGCAGAAGGAACAATTTGTTATTCACACTTTGTTTTCTGAATGTTTAGTCATCTCCTTCACAGTAGGCTGAGGTTAAAATGATCTTGCTGCTCTTACCATCTATTTGGGAGATACGCTGGGAGAGCTGCAGAGTTTCCTGGGTAGTCAGGCTTCTCTTAACCCCAGTACTCCCTATGCCACATAAATAATTATTTTTCAAGAGATGGCCTCTTTTTCTCAGGGATAAAAGAATACCTTATACCCAATGCCTCCTTTACTCAAGCCAGTCATTCTCATTACTCTGCAGGGTGCTGAGGCTTGATACTTACAAATGCACACTTCTGTCCTAGCCATTTGCTGCCTCTACCTATGCCACACACATACACAAACTGAATGACCTCCATGCTACTTTCTCTCATTAATCATCTGGAAATGCCACCTGTCAAAACAGCATAGTAAAAGGGATAAGGATTATTGAAGACAATCAGATTATTGTCTGTATTTTATTTTTTAATTCATTTTACATAACAACCACAGTTCCCGCTCCCTCTCCTCCTCTCCCTTCTCCCTACTTTTCCCCAACCCAACCCAACCCCATCCACTCCTCAGAAAGGGTAAGGCTCCCATGGGGAAATCAACAAAGCCTGGCACATTCAGTTGAGACAGGAACAAGCCCCTCCCCACTACATCCAGGCTGATCAAGGCATCCCACTACCTAGGGTTCCACAAACACAAGGCTACAAAACTGTTGCCCACATGCAGAAGGCATGGTTTGGTTTTTTGTTTTGTTTTGTTTTGTTTTTTTCAAAGGTAAATTAAATGTTTACCCTCTCCTGCAGGTTTATTTATGTCAACATATACAAACACAATTATAAGTCACATCAAAGATTAGCATTAAGTTACCATATAATTGCCATCAGACAGTCTATTGACACAAAAATATCAATATATCACTAAGAGACAAGCAGGCAAACAGACAGAAAACTTAGATGATTGTCAAAATAAGAAACATAAAAATCCAAACAAGTATAAAAAACAATCAGATAGTACTTTTGTCTATAAAACTAATATAACATCTTTTTCTTAAAAATAATACAGTAATGGAAAAATCATTGTTTAATGCACAGTTTAAATTGTAATCTTTCTGGAAGGAAATGACTACTACCCATTGTTTCCCCCTTGGTTCATGGAAAGAGATAGAAAAAGAAGATAGTAGAATGGGAGAGATGGCTGTGAGTCTAGATGTGGGTTACGCACTCTAAAGGGAGAGCTAATAATTCAACTGAGCATCCATCCAATCTATGTCCACTTTGGCCTCCCTTGGTATCATTTTGAGTCTGCCCCTTGTTCTGCTACCAAGCCTTTTGCTTGGTTGAAAGCCTTCACTTCCAAAATATGAAAGGACTCCAAGAAAGTAGCAGAATAACTGAGAAAGTTTGTATTAAAGTGAGTTGAGAGAATTAGGCAACATGCCTTTTGACACCCAGTAATGTAACTTATTTTTCACCCTAGCATGTAAATTTATTGAATACAAGAACAACAATCCTAGAACGAAAGCTACAACCCAAAGCAGTATATGAAATCAAAGTCCGATCCATCCCCAGTACCAGATATTTTAAAGGCTTTTGGAGTGAATGGAGTCCAAGTTCTACCTTCAAAATCCCAGAGCCCTGGAGTCTAGGTAAGCAAAGGCTATAGAACCCCTGTGCTCTCCCCCAGATTCTACACGCTGGAGTACAGCAGAAGAGTGTGAGCAAGAGATTGATGTAAACAACCCCCAGGTCAGGACACTGGGGGCCTTCTTCCACTTTCTATGGAGAATGCTGTCTTCCACCTTTGACTCTTTTCCAGAATAAGAGCAATGTGAGTTGGGTCCATGATATCTGATAGCAGCTACAGATTGTTTTGAAGCTGCTATCTCAAGTGCTCCTGAACCTACTAATGAACTCCTTACCTGCCACCACTTATATTGTTGTCAGAGATCATGTCTGATCCCTCTGTGACCCCTCTAGGTAATACTTTTGCTAATAGAAGGTTAAGCAGACCAGTATGACTATATACTGTATCTTCTTTCCCAGTGTAATAAAGATGCTATGGGGTAGAGGAAATACCAATAGCCAGAGAAACCAGTGAATGTGTCTGAGGAAAGTACCCAAAGTAACTCACACAGAATTTCTTTGGGAGGGTGGAACTTATTTCTGCTATGCCAGCTTAAAACTCTCATTCTGGAACTTGCTACAGCTTCACAGTGAGCATTCATCTCTTCAACTCTTACTTAGGCTTCTTTTCTTTGGGTACTGGCATTTGGATAGAGGTTTATAGGCCATCAGGAAAGGTCACCTTTATACACCAAATGCTGAATGCCCTTACCATGGTCACCCAGATCAGCGCCTCTCTCCCTGTTTATCAAAGAACGATTTCCAAGAAACAATAAGTGAGACTGTGTTACCAAATAAATACAAAACATCCTAAGTGTGTACCCTATCTCCCCCCAAATTATTTGTTTACTGAATGTTAACCACGATCTCTCCTTATATTGCAGGCGGATGGAGTCTTGTTATGCCAAGTATCAGCATTCTGAGTTTTTTCTCTGTTGTTTTGTTGGTCATCTTAACTTGTGTGCTATGGAAAAAAAGGTGATTTTCTTTAATATTCAAAAGGTTATTGTGTGAAGCCAGAGAAAAACAGGACTCAGGACCCACTTATCAATCTAGGAAAGTTTAAAGGGAGTCTTGATATTTCAGGAATTACAGTTAATATGATAAGTATACTCCCTCCTATTCTTAGATCCCAGTTAATTTTCTATAGTTGATTTCAGAAAGAGCAAAAATAAATAAATTAGATATAAGACAAAGATTATTCCCAAAATATTAATATGTTAATTCTCTCTCTCTCTCTCTCTCTCTCTCTCTCTCTCTCTCTCTCTCTCTGTGTGTGTGTGTGTGTGTGTGTGTGTGTGTGTGTGTGTGTGTGTGTATCTGGCTCATGAGTGTTTCCATACATGCACATGTGTGCTGGCCCACAGGGAGCCAACACTCAATATTGATTTTTTTTTACTTAATCATTTCTTGCCTTGTTTTTTGAGATAGGATCTTTCACTAAATCTGGAACTCACTGACTCAGTCAGACTAACATGACAGTAAACTCTGGGTATCTGCCTGTCTCCATCATGCCACACAGCATTGTTGAGTATCTGAATTTGTGTCTTCATACCTGTATTGCAAACAGTTTATTTGCTGAATCATCTTGCTAGACCCTTGCCCCCCAATAAAAATTCTTCGAGAAGTGTTTTCCAAACTTTTCCCCACAGCCTCCTATAGGACAGAGACAGCATTACCCATCCTAATGAGGAGTATATTTGATATCATGACTTTCTACACACAAATTTACAAGATTTTTGTAATCATACACTATGAAATTATTTGTTTGTTCTAGGAAGATGCCCTAAGCATAGGGTCATATATTCCTAGGACAAAAAGTGTTCTAATTTGAAAAGTTTTACCATAAGATAATTTCCTCTTAAAGCTTAGAACATATTCCCCACTTTCAGCAGAAATAAAGCAAAGCGGTTACTTTAAGTAAAGAGAATGACTAAGATGACAATATCAACACTGAACAGAAAAGGCCAGGTCTTCAGGTTTTAGCTCCATATCAACACCAATACTACCTCCCTGCAAACCTCACTCCTACAATCACAGTGTCTTACTCACAATAGATCAATAGCAATGAGGTCTGTTCCGTCCACCCTTTAATTGAGTGGGTGATACTGTCCACAGCAAACAAGACTGTATCCACAGTTGCTACCTAGCAGTAGCAGAGCCAGTACCAGAAAACTGTTTTACAATCTCCCTCAAACGAGGAAAAAGATGCCTGTCTGTGCTTTCTCCCTCTGCCATTTGTTTTGTTTATGAATGTTCTCTGGTTTTAGGATTAAACCCATTGTATGGCCCAGTCTCCCTGATCATAAGAAAACTCTGGAACAACTGTGCAAGAAACCACAAAAGGTAAGTACTTCTGGTAGAGAAATACCATATCAATTATATCTTAGTCTAACAATGTTCAAGGCAAGGGGAAACTAAATTCAACCTTGGGCCTTTTATGTTTTTCAGAGTTGAGGCTCCTTATAAGATACTGTGGAATGAAACTGAGACACACATGATGGGGATTGGGGGGGGGGACGACAGTCAGTGTTTAGTTCAAACCTGCAGTGTCACAGCTCAGTCAGAGGTGTAGTACACTGAAGAGAAGCAGGCAGTTCTCTATCATTGCATAGTAAGTTCTCAGGAGAAAGTTTCTTAGACTTTTCTATCTTCCTGAACCAAATGTGTGGTAGCACCCCTTTCCAGTGCCACTGATGCTTCCTGCTCTCTCTACAGAATCTGAATGTGAGTTTCAATCCTGAAAGTTTTCTAGACTGTCAGATTCATGAGGTGAATGGCATTCAATCCAGGGAGGAAGTAGAAAGCTTTCTGGAAAATGTCCATCCTCCACAACCTGATCATCCACCTGAGGAGCTGGAGAAGCATGGACATGGAACAGCTGTGCATAGCCCAAACTGGCTATCTGAGATATCAGTCAGCACACCAGACACTATCAGAAGAGACTCATCCCTAAGATTCCTGGGCAGGAATCCGAGTGCATGCGTTACCCCTACATTCCCTTCTTCTGGGTCCTCTGACTACAGAGGTGGTGACAGAAATGGACTCCATGTGTATCAAGACTTGCTGCCAAGCCCTGGAAACACAAATGTCACCCTGCCTCAACCATTTCCTCTCCAGTCAGGAATCCTGATACCAGTTTCTCAGAGACGGCCCACCCCCACTTCCTCAGTACTGAATCAAGAAGAAGCATATGTCACCATGTCTAGTTTTTACCAAAACAAATGAATTAGGAGAAAGCTAAGACCCTTCCATCACAAACAGAATACTCACTGGGATGGGAAGTCTCAAAGGCCTACTCTTTCTCACAGGTCACAAAAGATAAAGTCAATGAAACCTTGCTAAGCATCATCAGCATTCTGAGAAATCATTTTGATCTCCTAACTCAGAAACATTTGCATAAAACAGGAAGAAACATGTTCTCCCTTGCTGGTTCAGTCCTAAGAGTTCAGATGACCCAATTAGAAAACATGACCAAAACTCAAATTAAATGAAGAGTAATGGGAAGATACAAGAGTGTGATGAATGCAAGAAGAAAGAAAAGAGGAAAAGAAGACTAACAGTGGCAGTTCTATCATTAGGATTTATTATATACACAGGACTCTACACAAATGGTCTCATTTCTTCCTCACAATAATACGGCAATGTGGGTTCATCCCCTATAATTTTTATACTCTTTGAGATAGATGCTGAAGTTGAGAGTAAAGATTTTAAGTAGTCTAAGTTTTCCTTTCAGCAGCAGGTAAGGCATGTATTCTAACTGCAGCCTTCCCTTGCCATGAACCTGTCCTATTCTTGAGTGCCAAACACCACCACTAAGTGGGTGATTATATAGTAATTATCCAAACTGAGCCACTGTGGAAATGGGAAGTCATAGCTAAGTAAAAGTAATCATAAACTGGATCTATCTCAGAACAATGTGGACGTGTGGACACCTTAATTAAAGTGACCACAAGGAAGTAGACAACAAAATATGTTTATGGATGTGAAGTACCAAGACTGTGCATCAAAGGAAGTGGGAGAAAGATGAGAGCCACCATGCTCATTTGGTTTCCTTTGTTTATTTTTGAATAACAAACTCAAGAAGAAATAAGGTAGAAGCCAAGACGTTCCAGGGTCAACTATCAAGACCATTATCTTCCTGCTGCTATTATCTATCTGCCTCCACATGATCATAGAAGGAGCTACTGACAATCTGCAACAGTGTGACATTTAACCAGGAATAGCCCACCTAAGTGTGCAGATACTGTTACAAACTACCCCAAGTCCTGCAGCCTTGGATGTCGCCTGAACTACAGGGAGGAGCGATGAACACTTTAGTGACTCCTCCAACAGAGACTTTGCTCATGAAAGCACAAAGAAGATGGGTAAGTTGCTCAAATTCAAATGTTAATTCATGACTGCAAGCCACAACTTTGTATCTCTGGTGTGAATGGCCAATCTCCTGAAGCAAGCATGAAGTAACTGAAGGACAGACACCATTGGGTTCCTTAGCACTAAATTCCTGTGTTTCAGTGTTGACATTGGCTATTTGAATTTGGTGTGTCTGTCTGGTTATGTATTAAATCCATGTATTATATTCATATAACCACAACTGCTGATAGTTCTTAATTATATAATCAAGAACAGCATGTAATGTAACATTTTTGATTAGATCTGCCAATTTCACTCTTGGATTTCATAGGGGAAAATCAAAACTTTTGGTCAGAGATAATATGCAAAACAGAGAGCTGTCGATTGCTAATTCCAAGTAATGTGAAATATAAATATTGAAAATGTGGTCAATCAACTATGCTTAGATCCAGAGAATCTCTGGTTAGGGCTTATTTTCTATAAGCCCTTGCCTCTGTCTCCATTGAGGTGTCTGTCGTCCTTGGGAATTTGTGCCTTCAAATCCAATTATGGGATATTTCAGATTTGTATACTTGTGCTTTTCAGAGCTAAGATTTGGAACTGTCAAAAATTCTAAGAATATGTAGTAGGGAAGCTGGAATACAGCTCAGGTGATATTTTTCAAGGGCTCAGCAGTTTTTCTATAGTGTTCTTTAAAATATTCGGCATCCACTACAGTGAAGTTGTTTGAGTTGACTGCACTTTTCAAATGCATTATTACTAGCCTGCAGAGCTGTTACATAGATAAAGGTATGGTGTGTGCTATCTATCATTTAACATTTCATTAAATGCTAAGGAACTCCATATGGCTGTACTGTCTTCTGTTACTGTGACAACTACACATAAGTAGGTTCCTATAGGTCAGCACAGGCCTCTGTAGTTACTGAAAGCATTCTTAGTCATTTAATGGGGTAGGGTTTCCAGAGATATGCTTTTTGTTTGTTTTTTGTTGTTGTTGTTTTTGTTTTGTTTTTAGCTTTATTTTTATTGTGTGTGGGGAGGATGGCAGAGGGCACCAACATGTCACAATTAATGTGTGGAGCTCAGGACAGTTTGTGGAAAATTCTCTCTCCTACTTTTAAATGTGTTCTGGGGGGCTCAGAGTCTGGTCTCCAGGCTTCACACATTGCATCTAATATCCTCTTCTTCAGGTTTCTAATTGACAGTTGTCCCGACTTCTGCTTTGAGTCCTCCAAGATTGTAATCAATTTAATAATTAACTAATAGAAATTTGTTAAGAAGCTATACTGTATTACTTTTACACTGTGCTAGCCACTAAATGATGGAACTGGATACTCCAAGCTCACAGTTATGTGGAGAAAAAAATGCAGGTTAGTATTAAAATAGCACACTAACATTTTATGGCAAAATATCAGTCAAGACTCTTAGCATTTAACAAAATAAATTAATTTTAAGCAGAGAGTTTATTAAGTATATTAGATTGCTCACAGAATATCTGGGAGGGTGAATAGCCAGTCTTGAGGGCCATAGGGTCTCCCTGTATCTCTGTGACTCACAACTCCAGAAACTGAAAATAGTTACCCTCACTTGGGTTCCCTGATCCCGAGGAGTCTTAATAATGGCCCCCAGAAACTTCACATCATAGACTGCTGGAGTAAGACAGAGCTCCAGCCTGTGCCTGACAGCAGCAAGCATGGTCCTCGTGTGAGCCATAGCAATAGATAAGGGAACACCTAGCTTTAAATGTCTTGTAAGAGGCAGGCATTGCTACAGAGGAGGACAATCCCAAACATACAATGGGGATTCTGGTGTTAGGGCAGAAGAAAAGAGCAACAAAACCAGGTAAAAGGGATGGGGAGATGACTCAGCAATCAAGAACACTGGCTTCTCGTCCATTCCAGAGAACTCAAGTTCAATTCCCAATACCCATATGGTGACTAAGTACTCTGTAACTCCATTTCTAAGGATACAACACCCTCCTCTGGCTTCCCTGAGCACCAGGCATGCTGCAATAAAGACATACATGAAAACAAAACGCCCACACACATATAAAATAATAATTTTTAAAATATTACAAAGCAAGTAAAGGCTATATGGAAGAAAATACAAGCAAGGATAACATGAAGGACATACTTCATATGTTAATGCAAGTGTACCAGGTAATTGATCCTGGAGATCACCCAGGAATTTTTCTCAACCTAAGAAAAAGCAAAGTGAGCCATGGAGTTGTGAGAAAAAGTATTCAGGGGAATGAATGTACAAGAATAACAATTGATATAGCCATCACTGTCTCAGAAGACAGCAGTAATGCATTGGCAGTTACTTCAAACAGGTAGAGAAATCTTATTTTCACGAAAATAACTATTCACCTTGAATGTTTAATTTAAACGTGTCTGTTGTATCTTGGTCCATTTAAGCTACTCTAAAAAACACAATGGCCTGGGTAACTTAAAAACAGCATAAACTCATTTCTTACAATTTCAGAAACTGGGGAGTGTGGCAGCAAGGTAGGGTTCCAATGAAGGCTGTCTGTAAAATAGCCTTACACCTGAGCACCCTTGGGCCTCTTTCATAAGGTCCTCCTTCTCACTCCCATCATGTCAGAAGTTAAAATTTAATAAGGAATTGTGAGGACACCAGCATCAGACTGTAACACATTACAAGGCCAGTGAAATTCTTCCTAGAATATGGTTATAAGTTAACCAACAAACTGATTAATGAACTACTCTCTTTTAAATATTTTTTATTTCTTTGAAATGATAACTTCAAGGTATTTGAAGAGTCCCAAAAGAAAATTGCCATCCTTAGAATTTCTGCCATCATTCTGCCACTCCAGATTTTCAGCAATATTCTTACATTGTACAATTTTTAAGTCCTCAGAATTTTCAAGGTAAGTTCTCTTAACTCAAGAGCTGCCTTTTTTCGCACACTCAAAATTCATTAGCTCCGTAAATATAATTATGACAAGTTTTACTGCCTTAAACAAGTGAGGACAGCTATAACGGTCTTCTGTGAGCTTTCATGTCACTTAGTAGAGGTGACTGTACAGGGTGTTGCTCACAGTCAAGTCTAAATGGGAATTGCAAATGTATTTAAAACAAGATAGATAGTAACAATTCACTCAGTGAGTGGATGGAACATCTGAGTTGATGGAGAGCACAATGAAGGATGGAATTTACATGTTATTGCCATGCAGGGGCTGGGTGTGCTTGCAAAAAAAAAAAAAAAAAAAAAAAAAAAGTCTCCTTAAGAACTTCATGTAGGGGCTGAGGAGATGACTCCACATTCAAAAATGCTTACTGTTCTTTCTGAAGATCTCAGTTCAGTTCTTAGCACACACATGGCATCTAGAAATTGCCTGTGATTCCAGTTCCAGGGTGCTTTCTGCTCTCTTTTGGTCTCCTGGGGTTCCTGCATTCACATAGTGTACATGGACTCACACAGCCACAGACACACACACACTTACACACATACACAAACACAGACACACACACACAAACACACACACAGACACACACATACAGACTCACACACACGCACAGACACACACACACACTTACACACATACACAAACACAGACACACACACACAAACACACACACAGACACACACACACATATAGACACACACATATACACACATACAGACTCACACACACACGCACACACACACACATAGACACACACAGACACACACACAGAGACACAGACACACACACATACAGACAAACACAGACACACACACAAATACACACACATGCACACAAACACACACACAGATACACACAGACACAGACACACACACACAGATACACACAAACACATATGCATACACAAAGTAAATATAAAAAGCTATTTAAAAACCTTTATGTGCAAGTGTGTACTGGGTTTCATGGCTGCAAACATTAAACCCCTTGATATTTTCCTGTATTTTTTCTCAGAAGCATTCTATTGAATTCTGTTTCAATGCATCAGCCCTTCCAGGTAAGATTACAGACTCTCGTGCTTTGGCCTACATAAAATTTTCTCCAATTCTTCAAATAATGTCAGTGTTCCAAAGTACAAGGCACTTTCCCTCTGTTGCCAACATCCTTCAGGTCTCTGTTTGGTTGCTTCCTTAGTATTCTCCAAGTCCTAGCCTCTGTGTAATTTTCTTACAGAAGAGGTCACCATGTTAAAAACAAGATGCTTTTCCCATTTCTCTTTGTCATGCCTTCGTTTATTTTCTCCAAATTTCCTTCCATGATAATAATTATCTTATTTATTTCTTTGAACATTGTTGATTCACTTCAATTCTCAAACTCAATTTACAGGTAACATATGCTGTCTACTTTATTTTTAGGTGTTCAATTAATACTAATTGATGGAAGTATGGAAGAACCCTGACAAGAAGAGGAAGTTGTCACAAAGACCCATTAGATAGCTTGTCCTTAGTTTCATTGTTACAGTTAAACATGGTTTTAGTTTCCGTTAAGTGAACAAAGAGGTTCTCCCTGCCCTGCTTCTGATAAGACCACCCAACACAATCCCCAGAGAGATGGAGCTACAGAAAAAATCTGGGAAAATCTATTGAAGGCTTCCCAGCAAGGAATAGAACGTTCTTAGTACTCTAGTATATTCATTTCTTATGGTTATTGTTATAAATTATCACATCATTAGATGCTTAAAACAAAACTAACTTATTCCCCTATGCATCAAGGAGGCAGGTGTCCAAACTTCCAAGTGTTCACTAAAGTGCATGGTTCTGGAATCCCAAATCAGTACATGCTTTTCTCTTTATTCATGCAAACCATATTCTCTAGAATCTAGAGTCTAGATCATCCCTCTGTCATGGAAAGAGAACCATTGCAACCTCTGCTCCCCTCATCATAGTGTCTTCTCTTGCTGTTGCCCTCTTCCCTTCCCCTTATAAGAACTGGTGTTCTTATATTAAACTAACTCAGAGAACAATAATCTCCCCATTTCAATGTTTTTCCTGTAATCACATCTACAGAACCCATTTGTCTTGTGCATATACTTTCATAATCATGATTTGTCCATCTTCAGAAGCTGACTGTGTAATGTACCTTGCCCAGTTTCCATTCTATCTGCATTTCCCCTGACTTCTCTGAGTCACATCTCAGATATGATCTTTTCTGGAAGAGTATGTTCTGATAGATCAGGATTTGGCTGATCTATATATCCCTTTGCAGTTTATGCTTATTCTTGTGGCTTCAAACCGATTTGTAATTATTTGTTCAGTGGTTCCTCTAAGGACTTTAAGGGACTACAATTACTGCAGTTTATATCCCTTGCTAAACAAATACCAAAGGAAAGAATGCATAAACCCATGAGCAAATAATGTTGTGTTATTCAACTTGTTTCTTCATCACTGTTCTAAATAAAAAGGCAAGCTATGCTGCTCAGAAAGAGTTGGCCCCACATCCCTGAGAAATATCACATCTGGGCAGCCACGTGCAAGGAGACAGTTGCCTTCCCCATCCACATTTCCCTCCCCAGCTGTGCTCTTAACCACTGTGACCACAAAAGATTATAGAGTGAGAATGGGCAAGAATTTTCCAAGCTTCACTTCTTGATAATTATCTACATTTAGTTTTTTTAATTGATAAATTCAGTTTATTTAAGATCTACATTAAAGTCAACCTTCTGAATCACAATTCTGTGTTCCTTTGTGTGTTTATATGCATATAGCTTGAAATAACAGTTGTAAAGGCAAAGTAAGTGTTATGCATAAAACTTGGTGAGTCCAAAAAACATATTGACACTCCTCAAAAAACTGACAAAAACAAAATGTGAAGGAAATGACAGGCAAATTCCCTGAGGTTAGGAAAATAACCTGAAAGTTCACTTCTGTTGAAACACTTGAGTTAATCTGAAACACTCCTCAACTATAATTATTGTGCCAATCTCCCCTTATTCAAGATAAATATTTATCAACCTAAAATGCAGTAGCTCTTGTAGGATCGAAAAAGACTTCTGTTGATGTAAAATTTGTTCCTACAATATGTTATCTGATTTAGGCATTATATAAAAATTTTTAGAATACTCCTAAGTATTTTAATGTTGAGCCTATCTGCTGTTGGGGTGAATTATTTCTTTTAGAGCCCAAGAAATCAATAATTTAATTATGCAAATTTCAATAAGTGTTATAACATGACATTGGCAAAACACTGTAAACCTTACATCTGCATAGTAATAAATTTTTATAAACTTAATGTTAAGTTTCCAAAACAGATTTCAATAAATCTAATCACTTTATTTTTAAATACTTATAAAAATTCTAATAAAATTTAAGTCAATGTCATCCTCAGCTATGAACTATTAAAT